ATAAAACTACACAGTAACTAAGGTATTACTTATGTAATTATTTAAAAAGTTATCTGAACATATTAGCAAATGCTATACCCTTTAATTAAATTTTCCTTAAATAACCAAGCACTGAAACTCAATAAAAATTAATTATCTTAAAATTAAGTTCTTTTCCCCTTAAACACTCTTAAGCCAGACAGGTCTTTTGTAGACATACTTATTTTTATTCCAAGGGGCATGTGATTGATTCCCTGTCAATCAACTTCATTTCCAAACAGAAATCCCTATACAGTCAGTCTATATTAAAGATGTGCTGGTGTTGGTCTTCTAAACATCTTTTACAAATAAATAAAAAGAAGATGTAAAATAATGGGATTCACTTGGTGAATATTAATTACGAAATTTCTTCTTCTTTCTGAACTTTTTTCCTGCTGCATTTGCTGCTTTTTCAGCCATGATCTCTGAGTACTTCCTTCGGTTGTATCTGAAAAGAAAAAAATCAAACCTTTAGGTCTGAAGTATAACACATCAGACATTAGAAATTAGGATGTTCTAAATCTCAAAAATGTTTATATGTTCACATCGCATATATACTAATCTGCCACGGTGTGTCAGGAGCCATCCTAGGAGTTGAGAATACAGCACAGAACATGCCAGCTAGTCTTCCCCCACAGAGCCTGCAATTTAAAGACCCGTGTTCTATATCCCCCTATCAGGCAGTGTTAGATCTGGGACATAAATGTGGGATAAAAAGGACAAAGCAAAACAAAGTTTGCACTTAACTGAAAACACAGTATTACTACTATTTCTTAGAACCTTAGAAAACATTACAGACCAATGGTTTGCAAAGTGTGTGGGCAGACCCTTGGAAGAGATCTGTTACATAAAAACTATTTCCACAAGAATACTAATGAGTTCAGTTGGTCATGGTTTTGCTCCATCTCCGGCCCTCAATGCCTTGTAACTTCCCATTGGAACTTCAAGTTCTGTCCCACTTTGTATCCCCCTCACCACATGGCTTGGCTGTATAAAACATCTTTGATACATGGGGTGGGTGGGCAACCCACTTTCCAGTCCCCCTTGGTCTCTCTCAGACAGAAGCTTTCTTTCCCTCAATAAGTTTTTCCTACTCTTAAAACAAAAACAAAAACAAAAAAACTCATAAGGGAGTAATGGGCCCCTTTCACCTTCATTCCCTCAGGAATGTACAGTGGAGTTTCCCAGAAGCTACATGGTATGTATTATCTGCAGAAAGAGATGTGAGTCTCTACTTCCCTTTAATTATGCCAGACATTAAAGAGATTAGCATTTTTATTTTCATAGGAAATGTACATTCATCTTATTTTTAAATGACTTAATATTTTAACAATGTAAAATTTTTAAATGCGTATCTTAAAGAAAAATATACGAATTATAAAATGAAATGTAATTCCATTACCTTCTGAATTCAGAATCAGCCAGCAGTTCTTCCACAATAGTCCTTTTCCTTTGCTTCTTGGGAATTCGTGAATGGTAGAAATCAGCTGGATTGTCAACAATAGTTCCAATCTACAAATGATTAAAGTAAGTCATGCAATACATGAATGCAAGTTGCTTCTCTGTTTCAGTGTAGCTCTAGGAAGTTATATTTACAGAAAGGAATGGAAAACACTTAATGTTATACTAGTATTAAAATTAGTCTTGCCCTTTTTAAGCAAAAACACATCACTTATCAGCACACTGGTCTACTTACTAATGACATTTCATTAATTTATAGTATATCCCAAATTTCTTTTTCAAAATTCAGTGTTAAACAGTTCAGTTAAATTCATGATAAATAGTGAAACAAAAGGAGAGAACAGTTAATGTAAACTTTTTTTCAGTTTTCCAATCCAATGAAATACAATACATATAAATTCTATTTTACATTTATTTAATCTCCTATGTATCCTAAATACTGCCATCTTAGAATTTACTTTTTAACTGCTCTGCATTTGTTCCATTCAAATGACTAAAATATACAGAGTGCCAACTGAACACCAGGCACTGAGCTACGTGTTACGGAAACAAAGCCTAAAAACATCTAGTCCCTAAAGTGAGTCTTACGGAAGATACAAACAGGAAATTATTAAAAAATTAAAGTCTAACATAATATGTACTGACCAAGACACTATAAATGCTCTAAAGACTGAGTGACCAATTCTACCTAAAAGGTGAAAATCTGACAGATCACATTTTGGCCAAGATTTGCACAGGTAAAATTTCAAGGAGACAAGGAAGAGCCAAGCACATGCAAAGTCATAGAATACAAAGGCTGGCCTATGCACGTTCTTAGAAAGGGACTGAGCTTATGAGGGGTATGTGACAAATTAAAAGTTGCTGAACTGGTTTGGGTGAAGATTTTGAAGGGCCAAATTAAGGGGTATAGCAACCAGGTCAAAAAGAACTATTAATCAACTAAATTTTCCTATGAAAAAATCCTGAGATACAGTTAATAATTTTTAGAATTTTCCCAGGATACCCCTCTACCTTGAAAAGAGAAAGGTTATCAGTACAAATGACTCTCTCTTTCCCCCCTCCATCCTACACGGACAGTTGCTCAGGATTGCCCTAAATTTTCCTTTTGCAGGTACTAGGATTTGAACTCAGGCTCAATGCATGATGGGCAAGAACCCTACCATGAAGCTACTATTCATATATTCATATACTGACCCTTAAAGTTTTATTAAATTCTAGAGAGCTGACTTGGAAAGGCAGTTACAGTCCAATGTTTAATGGTACCACATTACAAGCTGGTGGCCGTTTACACAGCCTAAGGAGAAGTGGTACATATGTTTTGTGTGCACATTTTAAGTATTTGTCTAGTTTAAAAGTAAACAGAATGATTCCCATACCTGGAAGTACTTGGGGAAGCCATCTCGGTCATTTTTCTTGTAAAACCTTTTTGGGTCCATGCTTGCTCTCATCTTCAGAGCTTTGAGATCATTTTTAAGTTCATCAGTCAATTCTGGAGCTTTCATACCAAACCAACCATCACCTGCAGTTTTTTGTCGCTCTTTCTGAAATTCAGATTTCAAAAATAAACATTCTAACTTTAATAGTACCTAACTTATTTTTCCAAAATTATACAACCTTGGGAATTGAAAACAAAGTTACTTTACAGAAAACATTTATCTCCAAAATCACCTTTATAGGAGGAAACAACAAAAACGAATTTATCTGCTAAGTTACACGTAATGTTATCAGTTTTGTAAGTGAAAGCTCCTTAAAAATCTATTTTGAACTGGGTGTAGTGGCACACGGTGTAATCCCAGCACTTGGGAGGCTGAGGCAGAAGGACCACAGTGAGTTCAAGGACAGCCTGGGCTACATAGGGAGAACCTATCTCAACAAAACAAAACAAAATCTATTTTTCTATCAGCAAGTAACTGATGACTTGCTGGAAGATTAACATAGCTTCAGTTTTCACTGCCTAAAACAGTCTATATTAGAGATAATATATAAAAGAATTTTCACTTATGGATCTTATACATAAATATTAACATTTTCAGTTACCTAGGTGTCCAGAAACTAGTCCAGAAATTTGTATTATTTCTTAACATAAAACAAAAATTGCTAATCTTCTGAAAATCAAAGCAAGAAATTAATTTTGTTTCATTCATGCAGAAAATATTTGGTGCTTACCATGTGCCAGTGTGCTCCCTATTAGGGACATTACTATATGGTACCATCAACTTTCCTCCAAGTTCCCTCAATAACTTTATACCTATCAGCTGAAATGGCAGATGGAAGCAATCCTTTTTATTTTACTAAATTCTCCCATTTGTCAGACTAAAGGGTTTTTAGTTGGCTACATTAAATTCCTTTCAATAGAACATCAGAGCTCCAAGCACTTAGTACACAGTACTTAAAAGCCAGGAGATATTATCAGTGAACCTATACGCTGACTATCACTGTTTTAAAGGTTTATTTTAAAAAGCTGTATTTGGGTGTGCTGTTGTGACTACAAAAATGTAAAAATCCTTACTAAATGTGTTTATGGAACTATATAATATATTACGATCCTTAGAGATCTGTAATTTTCTTTGGTCTTTATCCTTGTTTAACTGTACAACTATGCTGTATAATCTGAAAATACACAGCTAACTACCTTATATACATTATAAATTATAAAAGTCACTGTACTTACCCTGCGTTTTTTCTGAAGCTGACGCTTTGATTCACTGTATGGTGGGACACAATAGTTTTTTTCAAAATCAGGTGTAATAACAGCTTTCTGTAGAAGCTATAAAAATATGAAATTAGTTTTTACTCTTTTACTGTTTTAAAACTTTTTAAATTTCGTGAAGTGAAATCTGCTAATCTAAATGACCTCTTTTTATTACTTGCCTGAGATGACTAAATATTCTTATAACACTGTGTGATTAAAAATGAATTTCAAGGTTGTATTTTCCCCAGGACAAGACCCAAATAAGACTACTTATCTTTCCTCATATTTGTTCATAGAAATATAGCTCAAGCATTAAACTGGTAATGGCACTTGATATTACTGATTCCAATATTAAGACTCACCCACAATAAAAAGAAAGAAAGAAAAAAAAAAGACTCACCCAATTCAGATTCAGGCCTACTGTTTCTGGGTTGTACAGGAGCAGTCTAGATTTCTTATCAGCGAGTACAACATTTACATAATAGATGATTAAGAGCTTGCTGTCTCAAGTCCTGTACTAGGCTCTTAGGACAGTGGTTCTCAGTTGAGAGAAACTGTTAATGTTTGGAGATATTTTTTGGTAATAGTGAAGGAAAGGGAGAATGCTCCTGACATCTTGTGGGTAGAAATGAACAATGCTGCTAAATGTCCTACAATGCATTGGCCATCTTCTCATAACAAAGGATCACAGAGACCAAAATATCAGTAGTGCTAAGATTGACGAGAAACCCTACTTAATGAATCACACCTTCATTAGATGTTACAGAAGCACAGAAGAGGTGGGAGAAGGAACTGAGGGGTCCCATAATGTTTTCCCCAAGACATTGGTCTGGGAAAGAGCAGGGCATATTGAGGTAATTACATTTGTCTTCAATGTAAAAAACAAATCAGGTAGGGCTGGGGATTTATCTCAGTGGTTCTGCCATCTGCCTTGAAAGTGCAAGGTCCTAAGTTTGATCCCCAGCACCAAAGACAAAAAACAAATAAGGTAGACAGTTGAAGCTAGCAGGTACCTTGAAGGCACTAGGAAATCCACTAAAGGATGTAAGCATGACCGATTTGTGTTTAAGAAAAACAAATCCAGGTGAAGGGAGGATGGCTTGAAGAACAAAGAAAATGGAGGAAAAACCATGAGAAATAAAGGTTTGTACTGGATAGTAACTGGCTCAAAAGGGAAGGCAGGGCTAGGATGTAGCTCAGCCATAGAATATTTGCCTAGCATGTACGGAGGCCCTGAGCTCTACCCTTTGCACTGGGAAAAAAAAAAAAAATCCAAAACACGAAAGGTGGGGAAGGCATCATTTTCAAGGCTTGGTACCTGAGTATAAAAAGGAAAGAGACTGAATTCTCATTAAAATGTCCTTAACCAGCATAAAGAACACAAAAGAAAAAACAAAACAAACAAAAAACACAAAAGGAGAAGCTAGTTCAAGCATGGAGGAGAACAAAAAATTAGTGAAGTCAAGTTCCCATGCACATCAAAATGAGCAGATACCTGGATTCAAATGGCTGAAGAGCCATGAAGGCTAGAAAATAAATTTGGAAGAAAGTAATGCAAGATGTTAAAGCTAAATGTTTAGGTAATACTATCCTAATAGTAATTCCCCCTATAACTTGTTTTTTGTTTGTTTTTTGGGGGTTGTTTTTGTACTAGGGATTGAACTTGGATCCTTTTGCTTGCAAGGCAGGTGGTACCTCCCAAAATTTTATATACAATTTTATAGCTATAAGAATACTGCAAGCTGGGTGTGGTTATGCACATATATAGCAGGCTGAGGCAAGAGGATTGCCACAAGTTCAAGGCCAGCCTGGGCTACATAGTGAGTTCAAGGCCAGCCTGAACTACAGAATGAGACCCTGTCTCAAAAACTTAAAAAAAAAAAACAACTGAATTTTTTCCAGGTGAGGGAGGCAACACCCATAGCTTTGGGATTCCCAATAAGTTAGAACAGTTAAGAACTACAAGTACAGCAAGAAAAAGAAGAAAACAGAACCTCTGGGATCATAACTGGTGGGTAACAAGAGAAATACCGACCTTAAATTATTTTTCAAATATCACCTTTTAAAGATGGGTCTCTATTAAGAAATGATTGTTTTAGTGAGACAGAAAAAATGAGCACTTTAGGCTAATGTGGTTTTACCATAATGCTCTTTTGCCAAGAAATTAACATTTCTAAAGAAGTGACATTCCTAGAAGAGGACAGAACACTTCACGTAACTTACCTCATTTTTCTTTTTTTCCTTGATCTGTGTTAGAGTTTTCTTCTTAGACTGAAGTTTTTCTGCATTGAAATTAATGTACACACCACCCAACTGCTTGATACTCACACCGGGGTCTATACTGCTACTTGTCAACTTGAGACTGAAAGAGAAGCAATCACTTAAAGACCAACTAATTTACAGCTGGGTGTAGTGCTATACATCTGTAATTCCAGAACTCAAGAGGCTGGGGCAGAAGGATCGCCTCAAGTTTGAGGCCAGCCTGAGTTACATAGTGAGTTCAAGACCAGCCTCAATTATATAGCAAGACCCTGTCTCAAATAGGAAAAAAAAAAAATTAAAATGGAAGCAAACAAGGTTGCATTTTTTTAAAAAATCACTTATTTTTTTCTTTCATTATACCAGTGGTGGCGAACCTATAGCGTAAATGCCACAGCCAGCTATTTGTATCACTGAAAACTCTAAAAGGTTCACCATCACTGTCTTATATTGTCAATGGCCCAAAACAAAACAAAAGCCAAAAAAACTATTAGTATGTATTCTAAATCTAGTATATTCATTTAGAAGAAACTCTAGCACGAATAAATGATTTAACTAGAACATTATCCAAACTTTTCCCCCAGATTTTCTAAATGAATGCAGTTGACAAAAACAGGTTCTTCTACTTTGAACTTCCAAGTTATCCAAACTTACAATTCTTCCCTGGGTGACTAAGGGCATCTGGTGGTGTCTCCAAGCCAGAGTCTTAAATGGCAGGGAGCATCCCTCACAAAGGAGTTTAAAAAGATTAGACATCACTGGACCCAATGGGAGGCTGAAGCAAGACAACAGAAAGTTCAAGGCCAGCCTGGGAAATGTAAGTGAGACCTTGTCTCAAATTTTTTTTTAAAAAGGACTGACATATATGTGAGGCCTCAGATTCAATTCCCAGCCCTGGTGGTTGTGGTGGTGGTGGTGAACCATAAACCTACCAGATATGAATCTTCTGTACCTGGTATGGACTCCAGCTGCTCAGTTGTTTACATAATGAGAATTTCTACTTTATATGACTGAGGATCCTATATATAGGCAAGTACATGTAAACTTAAAGTTACTTTCTTCCCTGATTATTCATAAAACAGAATAGTAGTTTAAAGCACAATCAACTTTTTTGGGGAAGTGAAATCATTCTATTGCAGTGCCTAGAGATTCTTAGTCCTGAATATACATTAGAACTAATGTGAGGAATGTGGCTTGTACAAAGTATGTCTTGGAGTTTGATAGCTTTTGTTGGTTTAGAGCAAAGCCTGGTGATCTGTTAATATATACAGCACTCCAGTGGATAACACTGCCACTATGACAAGAAAAAACAAATTTAAGAGAGGAAAAGAGAAACTAAAGAAATGGCCTCCAAAATTAGTGCTTCTCAATGGATGATGGTTGGGATTACTGGCGATTATTTTTCTATCATTTTTCAATTTCTCTACAATTAACATGTTAAAAAAAAAGCTATTTTCTTCTCCCTTTTATATTGCTCTTAATAATCACAAGGAAAATTTTAACAGATGATTTCCAATATATTACCAAAAGAAACACTTTTCGCTGTAACTAGTGGGAGAAACAGTCGAAAGTACAAAGATGAGGGAAATGCTAGATAGATGAGCTGGTCCATAATGAACCCCACAGTAATTTTCTCATTTCCCATGCTTTTTATTAGCTTACATTTTTATGGTAAATTAACCACCTAACATACGCATCAAAGATTTGCTTTGGGGGGGGTGTGGATATAGCTCAATTGTCAAGAATGCTTAGCAGACACAAAGCCCTGAGTTCAGTTCCACCACCCCTAAATTTACTTTTAAAAATAAAGGTAAAGAGCCGGGGATTTAGCTCAGTGGTTCGGGTGCCTGTCACACAAGAACAAGGTCCCGAGTACCAAAAAAATAAAATAAAGGTAAAGGCTGGGAACTTAGCTCACGGGAATTTAGCTCAGTGGTTCTGCCATCTGCTCACGGAACTTAGCTCAGTGGTTCTGCCATCTGCCTCACAAACACAAGGACCCAAGTTTGATCCCTGGTACAAAAAAAAAAAAAAAAAAAACAAAAAAAAAAAAAAACAATAAAAATAGCAGGGCGTGGTGGCACACACCTGTAATCCCAGCACTCTGGAGGCTGAGGCAGGAGAATCGCTGTGAGTTTGAGACCAGCTTGGGCTACATAGTGAGTTCCAGGTCAGTCTCAACTACATAGTGAGACCCTGTCTCAACCCCCACCCAAATAAATGAATGAATGAATGAATGAAAAACTTACAGTTTAGACTTTGTGTTGTTTAGTAAGTCATCTTCATCGCTATACTCATCTTTATTTCTGTCATTGTCTGATGGTTCTTCTTCACTGTTTTCATCCTCCTCCTCTTCTTCTTCCTCAGTGGAAACTTCACTTGCCTTATCTTCCAAGTAAAAATTTTTATCGGCATTCAATCCAGGAGTTTTGTCAATTATAAAGAACGCATTGTCATGAGACATATTTTCGGAGTTTCCATTTAATGATTCCTTTGGACCACTATTTTCAACAAAACACACAGTGTCCTCTTCACTTTCACTGCTTTCAGATTGCTGGCTTTCATCACTGCTGAGAACTAGCAAGACAGAATCATCTATGTTCTGAAACTGGTTGAGCTCAGATTTGCTTTGTCTGATATCACATTCAAGATCTACACTCCCTTCACTGTTGTTTTCCTCACTGACAACTTTAGTTGTGGACTCATCACCACCACCATGACCACTGAACTCTGTCAAGTCACTTATTTTTACAGTGCTTTTTCTCTCTTCATTCCATCTGTTCACTTTCACAACTGCAAATGTTTGAGCTAATGATTTCATTACAGCCTCACAGTTCAGATTAGAGGGCTCTGACATGGTTTTATTGTTTTGAGGAGTTGAATTATTTTGAGGGGTTGAATGATTTTGAGAAACTAACTGCTGAAGGCTAGGGTCCTTAAGTCTAGAAAGACATTTCAACTGAGAACTTCTATCATTTTCCTTTCCCTCCTCTGTTACTCTGTTTTCCTTTTCAAACAAACTCTGAGAGGTTTGTCTGGTTTTGGAATCCTCTGACTTTTTAGAGATATCCATGATTCGGTTTTCATTTTCTGGTATAATCTTAGTATAGTTATTCTCAGTTTGTGCCTGCAATTTCCTTGGCATAATCTTGGTTGTTCTCTTATGTGTAATTCCAAGGAATGAAATGTCAGAGCATGATGATTCAACATCAGATATAGCTTCAGCATGTGATTCTTGGCTTTGACCTGTTAGAGCTTTAGCCTTATTTCTGGTTCTTGTTATTTTGGGGGAAGGCACAGTTGCAGAAATACCTGAAGCATGAGATTCCGCTTCAGAGACATCTTCTTCAGCAACAGACTCATTTAATGGAGTTATTTTCTGCTTTTTTCTTACAGTGGACACTGGAGAAGGTGCAATTATGATCTGCCTTCTTCTCGTTATTCTTAGAATAGGCTCCTGGATCTCAGCACAATTTGACTCTGGTTCGGAGAACTCTCCATCAGTGGACGGTTCAGTTATCTCTGCTAGAGAGCCTGTAGTTCTCTTCTTCCTCTTTCCAGTTTTAGGAGTTTTAGAGATTAAACTTTGTTTCCCAGCAGTCTGTGATTCAGCTGTACTTTGGTTATCAGGTCCAGATTCCTTCTTGCTTTCTAGATGGACCTGAATTCCTTCAGCAGCAGAACTCTGCAAGCCAAAGTAGACACACTATAATTTAGGTAGGGCTGTGACAAGGTACAAACAAATGAGGCATTCCTCCTAGGAGCAAAATCTTAAGAGGACACTTTAAAACAAACAAACAAAGCCGGGGATTTAGCTCAGTGGTTCCGCTGCTGCCTGCCTCACAAGCCCAAGGTCTTGAGTTTGATCCCCGGTACCAAACAAAAAAACAAAACCAAAAACAAGAAAACCTGTAAGCAGGGTTTTTACAAAAAACCAAACCTATGATTTAAAAACAAAAAACCTAAGTGTTTGAACTGATTTTCTTTAATTGTATATTTGACTTTAAAAGACAAAAGATTTATATGATGTAAAGAGAAACCAGAGTATTATATGTGACTTTAGAAAGCAAAACAAAGATAATTCCTCAAACACAACAAAAAAACATTATGACCCAATGTACAGGTAACAAAGAGAGGGGGTGAATAATCCTGAGCAAAGATGTGTTTAGGAAAACATCGATGGAATCAGCCACCACTCTTGCCTTTACATATTCGAGAGAAAAAGCTGCTGGGTTCATTTCATCGCAGAATCGGAAAAATGTGGCAAAGGTCCAGAGCCAACAGGAAATGTCACCACGGTCCACCCCACGCCAAAGGGAGTTGGTGCTGGGCCACCACAGTCTCCTAGAATGGTAAGGATGCCCTTTGCTGCAACCCTATTAACTGAGGCTAGCGCGTGGTGGCCGGAATCTTCCTCGGTACACACAGTGTTAACACTAAAGTTTAAGGACTGTGCTGTGCATCTGCATTAAGGTGCTGAATGGCTACCCAGTCTCTCTTCCACACTATCAACTGCCTTTAAAAAACTGGTGAGAGGGGAATAAGGGAAAAGGAAAAATATATGAGAAAATGTAAAAATGGAATTAAAGTGTTTGAAGGTGGGAGGGGAGGAGGGGGTGAAGGGTGGGGACAAGGGAAAAAGAACCAAGACCTGTCATGTAAAGGTACAAGATCCCAGTAATGAATGTAACTGTACTGTATACCTAGAATGTACCAATAAACTCAATTTAAGTTTTAAAAAAAAACTGGTGAGGACTTAATAGTTTCCACGACAAGTAAGGCGCCAAAGGCCTGTTATCCCGCAGCGTGTGGCAAGCTCGGGCCCTCTCCACCGGTCCGCTGAGCCGCCCCACGTGCCTGAACACTCTACGAGGCGGCGAAGAGAAACGGGGGAAATCTGGAATCTCCTACCTTCTCCTGGCAGCTGTCGGCCGAAGTGACTTGCGTTCTGGCCCGAGAAAGCGCAGCCCTAGTAACCACCATTTTCGCAGCCTTCCGCTTCCCGGTCGCTACCACAGCATCCCAGGGTCTAGGCGGCCCGGAAATACGTCAGAGAAGTGACGAGTTCATCCTAAACTCGCGAGAATCTCGTGCCTGCCTTTGTTCGCGCGCTACTCTACCGCTCTTCCACTGTGGCTCAAAATGGAGGTCTTCGGTGCCGAGTTTCAGCGTTCCTCGGCGAGGCAGAGGAAAGACGGGCCTGCTGCTAGGCGACCCTAAGGCAATCACCAATCCGCAAGTCCCTATTTTCCTCGAACGGAGTGGAAAAGTCGCATCATTTATCCCACTTTCTATTCATTTTCATTTGATTAAAGGTTTTGATCTAGCTGTGAGCGTGGCCCAACAGAGACTTTCTCGTTATTTGTACATTTGTAAAAAGCATCAATGTATTCATGTATTATTTGTGAAGTTAAGTACAAATAAGATTCACAGACTTGTTAAATATCTCTAGGAATCTGACTAGTTAGAAGCTATAAAATATAATTGTAAGATGATGTACTGGAATTGGGAATAAGCTAAAAAGAAATGTAAAAAAGTAAAGAAGAGGAATAACTTTTTAATGGGTCAGGGAAAGGAAGAAAATGAGTAGAGCTATTTTTTTTTTAATTAAATTTTTTTTCCTTGCGTTTGCGAGGCAGGATTTTTTGTTTTTAAGTGAAGGGTGGAGAACTAGAATGAGGATGCAAAATGGTTGAAGAAGTAAATAAGTGGAAATTATTGCTGGAGGCGAATAAAGAAGCTTGCCCTACCAAATCTCCATTTCATCGTGACAGAAAATCAATATTAAAGCCACGGCACACATATTTTGGTGGATATACTGCCTCCCAACTGATAATAACTCCTTTCAATTTTCCTTGGAACAGGGTGTGCCTAGTTACCAAGTTTTGGTCAACACATATAAATTAATTGTGCAGTTCTTAGGGACATAGTTTTATTTTATTTTGTCTTTTGGTATCGGAGATCAAAGTCGGGACCCTGCGAAACCACTGAGCTAAATCCCTGGACCAGAGACATTGTTTTACAAGAAAGGAGACCTGCCCTGACTTCCTAAATTTACTTTTCTTCCTGGAGAGCTGGTTTTCAGGCAGCAATTTTGTGCCATGAGGATGCAGGGTATGCTTTAGAGATGGCTTAACAGTGGGGGAAAAAAAGATCCTGACAACTTGTGAATCTGTAAAATCGGGCCTCAAGTCTACTTCTAGACATCTTTCAACTTTTTTTTTTTTTTTTTGAGACAGTCTTGCTGTGTTCTACTGGCTTTGAACTCACTATGTAGCCTAGACTGGGCTCAAAGTTGGGGTGATCCTCCTGACTCAGCCTCCTGAGCGCTGGAGTTACTGGCAGGCACCATTGCGCTTGACTTGAAACACCTTTTTAAAAAGTTATTTGGGGATTTTTGTCTGCCCCTGGCTTAACTGCAGCTGAAGAACTGAATAAAAAAACATGGAGGGATTAGCCACAGAAGAATGCACCTTCCTCTGAGGAAAGGATTTTTTTTTTTTTTTTTTTTGAGGAAAGGATCTTTTGAATTCAAATTTCTGTGAATGCAGACTTTCAAGAGAAGAGAAGAGGGCTGGGGATTTAGCTTAGTTGTTCTGCTCCCTGCCTCGCAAGCACAAGGACCCAAGTTTGATCCCTCCACTCCCCAGGAAAAAAAGGAAAAGAAAAGAAAACGGAAGGATGTTTGGGGTAGACCATCTTAATCTCCATTAGTAGAAGTTGACAACAATGTAAAAGGTTTAAATTGACTCTTATAGGAAATGTGCTGAGAATAAAGGGAAAGAATTGTAGGAGGGTCAAATAGTGACACTGTTAGAAGGTGAACAAAAGAGAAAACAGATTAGATGAAGGATGTAAAGGAAGGAAAAGTGAACCAATAGAAGGTGAGTAGTGGAGACCAAAGCAGCTGAGAACAGCAGCAATCATAATAGTAACATGGATGCTACTTTAAGTGCTTTACATATATTCACTCATCTAATCTCTACAATTTTAACTTGAACAAATGCATGAAAAGTGAAATTAAGATGATGGTGGATGTAGAAAACTGGGAGAATATTAGAAAATCATTCAGTGTGTAATATTTACTTGCAAGCATGGCTCCTTTCAAGTTTAAAATGAAAAGAATTCTAAAAAATCCCACCAAACTTCCAAAACATTCATACTTAATGCAAAGAAACACTGAAAGTGTCAGCAGTTATTCATTGTATGAGAAGTCTGAGCTGGTCTATCAATAGTTCTGCTGACCACTGGCAAAAATACATTCTGGTTTTCTATGAGACAGCCTACCAGGTTGGCTTGGTTCTTTGTCTATCCCAGTAATGGCGGACTTTTTTGAGCTTAAATGATACAAACAGCCTGCTGTGGCACACATGCTATAGGTTCACCACCAGTGGTCTGCCCTCTTCTTTATTCAAAGTGGATTTTGAGCAAATACACTACACTCAATTTTAGGTAAATGTAATGTAAAAATATAGTACTATTACTCGGGTCCAAGGAGGAACTCTCCCTGGGTAGTCTGTACTTTACTAATTAAACTCTTAAACTGAAAGGTCAAATCTCTCCGGACTTCCTAGAAATTAACACAAAAATTAGGGTTAATGCATGAACCTAAAAATGCTTTCATTCTGCACTGTCATTTTTGTTTAAATGTTTTTATGGAAACAAAGAGTTGCACTAACCAAAACCTTACTTTCCCTTCTTCAGAGTAAAACAGCACAGTATGAATATGAACAAAATACATTTGATAGCACAGTTCAATCTTCCTACTCATGGTAATTAGGGTAACTTTAGTCATAAGCAGTTGTAACTACAGTTGTGACGGTACTACTACTGTCACACAAAAGGAAATAATCTTGGGGCCGGGGATTTAGCTCAGCGGTTCGGTGGCCTGCCTTGCAAGTGTAAGGACCCGAGTTCAATTTCAGGTACCAAAAAAAAACAAAAACAAAAACAAAAAAATCAAAAAGGAAATAATCTTAATTCTGCACGTGGGGCAGTATGTTCTGTAAGTACCAAAAAGGTGGGAGAAGCACAAACACAAGCTATTCTTAAAAACAAAACAAAACAAAACCCAAAAAACAAAAAACAAAAACTAATTCAAACAAGAAATTTCGGTTCCCCCATCTCCTATAATTAAAAAGTAGGCCCTGGTTCTGGTACTCGTTTGGTTTTATCATGACCATTTACAAAGTGTTCCCCCATGACTTACATCATTAGGGTGATGGATAAAATCATTCATTCATACTGAAGAAAAGGGCCGGTGATTTAGCTCAGTGGTTCTGCCACCTGCCTTGCAAGAACAAAGTCCTGAGTTTGATCCCTGGTTCAAAAAAAAAAAAAAGACACACTGAAGAGAGGTCTATCTATTCCTTCCTCCCCTTGTTCTTTCCTTTATGCTCATATTCCTTGGGGAAGGTGGTGACTGAGGTCTTTTACAACTATCATGCTGTTTGTCTTTTTCTAAAACTTGTCCAAACCAAAAGGATCTTCCTCAAATTAAACTCATCCTTTTCAGCCTGTCTGTGGTCTGAACCATAAAACTACTTGTCAGGAGCAAACCATTCATTGGACTTCACTCTGGCTTCTAGGTCATCATACATGTCCTTGTCCAGATTTTTACTGGAGCTATCATGCTGTTTGTCTTTTTCTAAAACTTGTCCAAACCAAAAGGATCTTCCTCAAATTGAACTCATCCTTTTCAGCCTGTCTGTGGTCTGAACCATAAAACTACTTGTCAGGAGCAAACCTTCATTCATTGGACTTCACTCTGGCTTCTAGGTCATCATACATGTCCTTGTCCAGATTTTTACTGGACCCCAAGATCTGATTTCATTGATAGCCTGATTTTTATTTGAGTTGTGACCTTTTTAGGAGCTGCCGTTGGGAAATTCCACTCGTGTTGTCTCTTTCCACCTATCATCTGGGTTTCGTTATTCGCGTGCTTTCCCATCTTCTTTTTCCATATGGGTTTTGATCCCAGTCCTCATCTCCATGGCTTTTTTTGATCATTTGTTTTCCTTTTCTTTTTGAGCCATCTGTCTACTCGAGCACACATTTCCACCGAGTCTCAAACTTTATCATCAGTAGTACATACAGCTTCAGCCAATTTGGAAAAATTTTCATTTATGTGTACTGTCCAAAATCCTCTTCAATAGCACCTAGATGTTTGTCTAATTGCATTTTTCCAATTGGAAATACAATTCTTGTTTCTTTAGTCATTTTTTAACTAGAATGCACAACAGGTGCAATCTTGAATCAAGAGGCTCCCTTGGGTATTTCTGTATTTCTCCCATCTGAGTAATTGTTTAGCTCACTGAGATGGTGTGATTTAGATATACTAAGCAGGTTTTCAGCTGCTTGAAATGGCCTGGCAATGGCAACATGACAGATTTCTCCAAGCATACAAGTGTCTCTTATCCCTTTAATAACTTGTGTCATTTCAGGTTTCGATCATCTGCATGTATAATTTTTGGAAACTGGTTGGTGTATTTGCTGTATTGCCTATAAACGAGCTTACCTTTTGACTGTCCTTGTTGAGCAATCACATCATATTTTCCTTCTGGGATCTACCTAAATGGCCAGTATATTTTTTCCTTTCATCCCATACTCTGGATACTGAGCCATGTGAGTCACAGGAAAAGCATCTCCATCTCCAAAATCCTAACAACTTAAGTATTCAGCCTGTTATGTGTGTAAGTCCTCTTTGGAAGACCAGTGAGGTCTGCCATGATCTCTAAGATTGTTTTTTCTTGAGTCTCAGGGTGGTCTTGAGATGGCCGAGTAGTTACAGGTAAAAAGATGGTGAACACCACCATTTTCTGTTCTACATATATTAAACTTGATCTGTAAAATGGTCCCCAATAATCCCATCCCTTCTCCTTCAAACTCCTGAAGGTGGGCGGTTCTTAATGACTTATAATTAAAATAGTATGACAAAAATGAAGGGTGTTACTTCCAAGGTTAGGTTTATTTTATTTATTGGTACTGGGGATTGACCTTGGGACCCTGCACTCAGTGAGGCAGGCAGCAGAACCACTGAACTAAATCCCCAGGCCTCCAAGGTTAGGTTTTAAAAAGGTTGGTTTCATCCAGGCACAGTGGCACAGGCCTGTAATCCCAGGACTTGGGAGGCTGAGGCAGGAGGATTGCTGTGAGTTCAAGACCAGTCTGGGCTACATAGTAAGTTCGAGGTCTGAACTACACAGTGAGACCCTGTCTCAACCCCCACCCAAACAAACAAATAAGTTGGTTTCCATGTTGATTTCTCTGAAATCATTCATCCCAGGAAGCTAGGTGCATGTTGTGATATGCCCTATGGAGCAAACTAGGTGGTAAAGAACTGAGGGAGGCCAACAAGCAATGAGAAACTGAACCTTCAGTCTGACACCCATAAGGAACCCCTGTCAACAACCAAACCAGTGACCTTGGAAGCAGAGCAAGCCTCAGTCTTTCATGTAAGACTCTGCAACATTGAGAGAACTTGATTCACCCAGATGCAGGAATAGCTTAATAGACATCAATTTTGTCTATTTTAAAATTTCATGTAAAGAGATAAGTTTCTTTTGTCTGGCTTCTTTTACTCAGCATGTTTCTGAGATCCATCCATATTATTCTATATACAATACTAGGGTTTTTTTTGTTGCTTAGTATTCAACTGTATAACATTTTTATCCATTCAGCTGTTAATATCTGGGTTAGTTCCAGGTTGCAATGAAGGTGCTATGAATATATATTTTTGAATATTCTCTTGAAAAATTTTTATTTTTTATTTCATTAGTACATGTTTGCAGTACGTGCAGTTTACAATCACCTTGGGGAGTGGTTACATGTACATACTACAACTTTTTTTTTAGCCCCTTCCCTTATCCTAATTCTCATTTTTATTGACATTATTAATCTTAGCTCATGTTATGGCATGTTTACATTAATTGAGCTTATTAGGTTTCTGTACATGGCATATCTTCATTCTACTTATCTCCCTTTTCCCTTCCAACCCTTTACCCTTGTTTCCTTGGACCACTTTCCTATTCTAAGAGACCCATCCCCTCCTCTTTTTATCCATCCTTTATTACTTTTTGTACCTTGCCTCACTCAAGTGAGACATACCATACAGTACTTAAGCTTGTGGCTGGTTTATTCCACTCTTGAAAAAATATTTAGAATGAAATCAAGTCATATGTAAGTGCATATTTAACTTCATAAGAAATGCCCTTATCTTTCATGCTAGTAGTGGAGTTTTACATTTCCACCAGCAGTATCTGAAAGTTCCGCTTTTCCACATCCTAACCAACAATTTGGTATTGTGCCTCTAAACTTATTTTAGAAATATCTCACTGTGGTTTAATTTGCATTTACCTAATAACAAATGACGTTTTTAGCATCTTTTAACATCCTTATTGCCTATTCAGATATCTTCCTCACAGAAAAAAGCCTGTCTTTATCTTTGGTTTTTATTGGGTTTCCTTTTATTAGTACGTTTGCAATACACAACCCATAAAGGGGAGTTGATACATATACCTATCTCATTTTAATCATCTTTACTTCTTCTGCCTAAATCCCCTTCCAATCTCCAGAAGTTCTCCTTGCCCTGTTTCCTTTTATTTTGCTCTTTAAATTATTTTTATGCTTTAGGTTTCTCATATAAGAGAAAGCATATTTAACTGAGTCTGGTTTCACTTAATGTATGTTCTCAGTGTCACTTCTAAGTCTCAGGCAGTGTGAGTTGTTTTGCTATAAACATGGGTATGCATGTTATCTATCACCACAGAATGTCTTTAACAGTTTTGGGACTATAACTCAGAAGTATAATTGGGTCAAATGGAATTTCTACTTTCAGTTTTTTGAGGACACTCCATATTGATTTTCATAGTTATGCTACTTTCCATTTCCAGCAATGTAGAAGGCTTCCTTTTCCCCACGGCTTACTCACATTTATTTTTTCAATTCTTGTTGATAGCCATTATTTCTGGAGTAAGATGGAATCTCAGTGTTGTTTTGATTTGCATTTTTCTAATGGTCAGAGACGTTGAATATTTTTTCATGTATTTATTTCTTTTGCTGAATTACCATTAATTTCAATTGCCTATTTTTTGACTGGGTCTTTTATCTTAAGGAGTCTAACTTTTTGAGTTGTGTCTTCTAGATGTTAGTCCTCTGTCCAAAGGAATAGCTGGCTTAGCTGCTCAGGCTGGCCTTTAACTAGCAATCCTCCTGCCTTAGCCTCCTGAGTGGCTAGGATTGCAAGTGTGTGTAACTGTGCCCAGTTAAGAATAAGCTTCTGAAGGAGGTATTTTCTTTGAAGTTGTAAGCTTACATTTAAACCGTGTCGTCGTTTAATTAAAGTATATTTACAAACCAGGCAAAAGCATCTGTCCACAATGTCCATGACACTTCTTCCTTTGAACCTACTATAAAGATAATTTCTTTAGGAAAGTCTTTATTATCTTTATTCTACTACCTGGCCCCACTTATTCACACATTTTCTCAATCTTTTTCCCTACCTCCATCATTAACCAATGCACCTCTAGTATTGCTTTTTTCCTCTTCCCTGCAAATATACTATATGCTTCTTGAAGATAGCATCTGTAACACTTTGCACAGTACCTACCATATAGTAGGCACTCAATGATTCTGTTGAATAAAGTATGAATAGATTTATGACTTAGATACTTAAAAAAATTATCCACAATTTATTTTCAAATCATACTCAGTTGAAGTTCAAACAGTTCAAAATCAATATAATGTTGCAGGATGCTCCCAACTACTGAAACAACTCAATTAAAAAACATACAACTCACATTTTATTTCCATTAAATTCATAATATAGGCAAAAGTAAAAATTATTATATTTAATTAACTAATAATGCTTTATATTTTGCTTCTATTTTATAGTACACTGCTACAGACACATAAAGAAGTTACCTAAAACTTTTCCCTAATTTTACCTCTAATTCTGAAAACTATAAAAATATTAATGAAAGTTACATCACTATTTTTTTCAAAAATTGAACTGATGAATCCCATCATCAACTTTATAGAGAAAGTGTAAGTATTGGTACAAGTCAATGATGGAAAAATAGGTTCAAAATCATAAGGTTGTGTATTCCAGTATGAAAACACACAATGACACAAATGGTTTAAATTTTCATTCAAAAAACTTCACATTTCTCTAAATGTGTATCTGGCAGAAAGATGAACTGTCGGCCTATAATACAATAAATACATCAGTAGCTTACATTCTCAAAAGTTGAAAATACTTGGTGGAAAACCTGGATACAAAATCTTATAAAGAAATGTAATTAAATCAGCCTTGGACCTTTTACCACAAAAAATTAAGATTCTAATTTTCGTTATTATTTGGCTCTGGTACAGAAAAGTCTGAATCATTCATGTAAACCAGTAACTTTTTATTTTCCATTTTATATACAGCTGTCCAAATGATCTCTCTTTTGAGACCTGAGAAGTTATTAGCAATTACTTATGATTCAAGTTCTAGCACTGGCCATTGCTCAATGAATACTCTAGTAATGTACTAACACAATGTGGTCTACAGAATTTACATCATGTGAATATATAAGACACTGTGGTCCTTCTGGTGACTACAGTTTTTTTGATGAGTGGGACTCAGGACGAATTTCAAGTTACAGTACATTGTGTTAAAGTAAGGCTCTAGTTATTCTGGAAATGTAATAACAAACTATAGCTTCTTTATGTATTTACTGGGGAAAATTATATAAACTTTCTCACTTGGGTTACTAGATTTACATCTCCCCAGAAAACATATTTGTTATATACACTATTGATAACGTTAACTTTAAGTTTTAAGCAACTGATAGTATTACCACCCCTCACTTATGGCTTTTAAAACATTAAGTACTTAAATATTTGGAAAGTATTCATTATTCACTCATTTCTGACAGTTCATGGAAAAAAAGTTTTAAACAACAGGTTGAAAAATTTTAAAGACTTAAAAAACTCAATGTTTTAAAGGTTTTTCATAAACAGAAATTCAGATGGGATGAAACATCAAAATCTCATTTAAAAATTCCATACATAATCTCCTTCACAAAACCTATCACACCTTGCTTCTTTGTCAATAGCAGTGAAGGAAATCCCAAAAAAAGCTTCTGCTGAGGGTCAGATACATTAGTAATTTAAATTGCTTTTCCATTTTCTTAATAACCCTTCAGACAATCCACTTTTTAAGTTCTGGATTTTGAAAAATGATAAATGTGATATCAATGTTCCCCTTTAGACTATCTCAGCCTATTTACTGCATAGATTTAAAATAAGCATTTAAGGACTATGTGATATCATGTTGTACATTTCTAAATTAAAAAGTTAACTTATATTTAATGTTACATACGATTACTATAAAGGCTAAAAGGCTTTAAGAAGCTCAAAGTCTAAGTAAGTTTTAGCAGGCAAATCATTTGATTTCATGTAATTCTAATGATCAAAATTTCTAACCAGTAAACCATAAAACCTTATGTAAGAAAAAGTTACACTGCATTTATTTTTGGTATGGAACCATAGTTACTAAGTTGACAAAATTTGAGCAAGATTTATATAGATCCATGGTTTAAAAATATTGAGATACAAGAGATTTTTTAAGAATTTAAAAAACTTTTTGGATTATAGATTTATAGAATTAAGGAGACCTATAGTATGCATTGAAAGCTACAGTTTATTTACAGTTTTCTGGTTCTTGAACTAATGAAGAATTATACTCAATGATCTATAGTCTCTTCTAGCTCTAAACTTTTGATTATATTGTTTTGGTTTAAGATAGTTAAGACCAGTGGGCCAGGGATTTAGTCAGCAGTTCGGTGGCCTGCCTTGCAAGTGCAAGGATCCGAGTTCAATCACCGGTACCAAAAAAAAAAAAGATAGTTAAGACCAGGCTGGGGTGTAGCTAAGTGGTAAGAACTTGTGCTTTTAGCAAAGGGCCTGGGTGCAATCCCCAGCACCAAAAGAAAACAAGAGTCAAGATCATAGATCAAAGTTGTCTAAATAGACAATGTTGGCCCTGAAGTAAAGTTTTGTTTTTTTTTCCACTTTTCTGGCTTTGGTCCCCCCTAGTCAGCTATTTATTTATTTATTTATTTATTTAATTTTATTTTTGAGGGGTTACTGGGGATTGAGCTCGGGACCTTGTGCTTGTGAAACAGGTGACAGCATCACTGAGCTAAATCCCCGGCCCCCTCCTAGTCAGTTATTAATGGAAACGAGTGTCACATAACTGACTGGGGCTCTGTGCTTCACCTTCTCTCTAGAGCCCACAATGCCCAGCACATGTAAGTGTGCAGTACTTACTGAATATTCTCAAATGAGTAGCAATACTGCAAGGATGGATTAAGAATTTAAAAGAATCTAGAGATCGTAGTGATAGTTTTTATAAAGCCTTCAAATAATTTTAAAACTAGACTTCAGATTTACTTTGGTTTGTTTCTGTAAATAAGAAGAGGAAAATATGGCACAAGAATACATGGTTAAATCATATCTAAACTACAAGCAAGAACATATAAAAAGCTGTTTCTATCCATGTATTGAAGAATAAATTTTATTTACACTATAGACCCCAGCTACTCTAGTTACTCTTGAGAGATAATTATTTTACCAATGAAAGAAAAAAATATCTTCCAGTATTTCAGTTTTTACTGAAATTAAATCACTTTGCTATCCTGGAGAGTAAGAAGCAATTAACAAATGATTTTGGAGATAAAAAATATGTATATACATTATCCTGATGCCGAGGCCAAAATATATGTACCAACAAATTTTCTTGATTTGTTACTCATAAAAATAAAGGAAAAATATATTGCAAGTATTATCTTTATATAGACAATTTCAATTAGAAAACAATTTTTTAATAAAAACAATGAAGTGGTTTATGTGAGTGGACTGATATGGAGGCAAAAGAAGTAAACAAAACATGACAGACATACTGAAGAATATGTGCCTCAGTGACACTATTTATAGGTCAGATTCTTACACGACTCATTTTATATTCAGGAAAAAACAAGTCAACAGGTTATGAACCCCTTCTTTTGGCTTGCAAAATGTAGCCTTTTGACTTGATGATTCCTCTACTTTTCACAATGACCGAGTACCTCAGCAGCCACAGTGGTGCCCATTCGCGTGCTTGAATGTCAGGGACGCTTTCCTGAAGAGCTTCCTGGAAACTGGCTTCAGAAAGCAGTTCTAAAACAACAACAATAAAACCCCAAAGTATTAAAATTCAAAAGCAAATGCACTTTACTCTGTAGGTAAGAATTTAAAAACAATAAACAAAGCACATCAAAACCAAATATAAGATATGCATATCCTTTCATATGTGATCTGAATCCGAACCAAATTATCAGAAATGGCGCAGCAATGCTTTAAAAATTATCTGTACCTGTACTCTAGCCTCTCACTGTGGCCTGGAACTTACGATGTAGCCCAAACTACCACAAACTCGTGGCAATCCTCCTACCACCATGCCTGGCTGGAAATTCTAAAGTAAAGCCAGGGAAAAAAATACAGACAAGGAAAAAAAGAGTGACTCGAGCCTACCAATGGAAACGATACACTATTTTTACTACTATGTATTTTCTTGTAATGGGGCTCTCCTTTCTGAACACACACACACACACACACACACACACACACACATATATGTATGTATGTGTATATATAAAAATATATATTATAAATATATAATAAATATAAATGTATATGTGTGTATATATATTATACATCATATATATAATTTAAATGATTCACAGAATTAGATGGAAAATGTTTACATTGTTAGTGGAAAAAAAGGTAAATTAGGCTGTAACTACAGTATGATTTGACACTGCATCATTTAATTCCTCCAATACTATTTTATGTAGATGTAATTTATACATTTCCTTATTATTACTCAAAAATTTTTCAGTTTTTCCTAACTTTGCTAATAAGAGTAATACTATGATGAACGTCCCTCAGTGGCATGTTTGGCTATGGAATGAAAAGCACAAGTACATTCTTCAGGTTCTTGCATAGTATACTGCCAACTGCTTTCCAGAAAGACTGCACTGTACTTCACACTTACGCCAGCAGCTGATCTTGTGAGTGTTAATCTTATAATCCTGATGAGCACCAGAAATCATTTAAAAATTGTTGAAAATTGTTCTTGTTTGTTGTGTCTCCTTATTTTCTAATTTCAAGTTTTTAATTTTTATAACCACGCTGGTGCTAAATCTTCCTATTTTCTTATTTTTCTTCTGATCACACTGGCCTCTTTCCTCTATCTGAAAACCACAAGACATTCACATCTTGGGTCCTTTGAATCAGCTGTTCCCTTTTCCCAGAATACTCTTCTGGTTGCTCCCTTCTTTCTTGCCAGGCTCTGATTAATGTTATCTGACCATCCTATATAAAACTGCCACCCCTAACCTGGACAGTTTTTCCTTTAGCCAACTTTTCTCCATATCATATACCACCACTTATAATTTTACATATTTATTTTATTGTCTGTCTCTTCCCATTAGATTTTAAGTTCCATGAGGGCCAGGATTTGTCTGATTTAGTACTGTATGTCTAGTTACTCAGAACAGTACTACTCAAATGTCTTGAATGAATGAATCACGATAGAAAAATTCAGCCATGGTCAGAATCAACCATATAAACGGGAAGTAAGTGACCATGTACACGGTATGATTTGGAGGTGCTAAAGGACCTGTCTATTCCCCAGTGAACTACTGTGATACTTGGGCAGAATTAACAGTAGTGATTACTCAATTTTTTTTTTTTTTTTTTTTTTTGGTTTCGGGGATCGAACTCGGGTCCTTGCGCTTGGCAAGGCAGGCGGTGGAACCACTGAGCTAAATCCCTGGCCCCAGAATTAACAGTAATTATGCAGGCACTTTTCTGAGTACTTTCCATGTATGAACTCAATTAACTCGAGTGTTTAACTTATGTTTTAGAAATTATCCTTTATAGGGAGAAACTGAGACAGTAAGAGGTTAGGTGATTTACCTAAGGTCTCTCACAGCTCATAGTTTTCATTATGAGCAAATTATGAAAATGCAAATCTCTCCTTGGAAAATAATATGGGATTGTTTATCAGATTGTTCAACAAGAAAAGGATCCTGTGGGAACAGGGCACAATAGCAATTAAATTTAATGGAAATGGGGGGAAAGGTAAAGTAAATAAAGAAAAATTTTATAAAGTTAGTATCACCAACTTTATAATTTTACCCTAATGGTGGTTAAATTGTTATTGTGACTTGTAGGACAAAGGATAATGGAAAATAAATCCATTCTAAAGAATAAGAGCAGTTTTAGTACAGAGGCAGACCTTCAGAGGACTTATAAACAAAATTCCATGTCAGATGACAAGCACAGTTAAATGTTTTAAAACTCGGTTCTTTAAAAATAAAAAATTACATGATTTAAAAGTTAACTATGTTTACTCATCAGAATCAGTAAACAGCAAATCAAAAAAGATTTCATTACAGATTGAAGTGTCTAAAAATTCATTAGTGGTATACGCATGATCAGCCTATAAATTCTAATGAGAATGTTTAAGATCAAAATAAAAGACAGATTAAATATCCTCTCCTCATAAACATATATTTTACTGTAAAAATGACGTTTTAGTGCATAATCTAAATGCAAATATTTAGATATATGGAAATAAAATACTAGACATATTAGTCTTTTCCTACAGGAAAAGATTTCCTACAGGGGAGATTTTTCCCCATAGAAGTAGAAGATACAAACTGGATCATCAACTGTTGGTAACAATACCCCACAAAATAAATAGATCCTGATGTGATAAAATATCTGCCAACATATAGAAAGTTAAAATTTAAATGGTTTGTATTTCAAAATAAATCATCATAGCAATTAGACTTTGCATTAAAATGACTGTTCTTTTAAAAATTTCTCACTTAGCCAGGCGTGGTGGCACACTCCTGTAATCCCAGCACTTGGGAGGCTGAGGCAGGAGGATCGCTCTGAGTTCGAGACCAGCCTGGGCTCCATAGTGAGTTCCAGGTCAGTCTCAACTACATAGTGAGACCCTGTCTCAAAAATAAAAAAAAACAAAACAAAACAAACAAACAAACAAAAACCCCCCCCAAAAAAACAACTCAATTATATACAGCTTCTGCGAAACATTTATGTTTGCAAGTTATGTTGAACATTCTCTTCCCAACTTTTCTAGTTATCCTGTCAAATATTAATAAATTATTCTACAGAAGGCAGATAAGCCTTTCTCATTAATCAAATAATGTTTCTTTTACTTTGTTATGAGTAGGAGAATTTATTAAGAGAAAGATAGTTTGTAAGAGACACAGAAGGGGAACCAGAAAGTGGGCTGCCTCAGTCAAATGTTTCTGATTAACACTAACCATATATATCTTGATATGATGATTAATAAAATATCTGATCAATACCTATACTAAGATGCTTACTAAGTTTTGATTAAAGTATATCTGCCACTTTTTGAAAATATTTATACTGGTTAAGTGGCCCTTTGGTCCAGTCTTTGCTGTACTGACGTTAACACACACACACATACACACACACACAAATATAAATTACAAAAGTAAAAACAAAGACATATTTTTAACTAACTCAATAACTTTTAATGAACTCATCATTAAAAAATACTTCTAGAAAACAGTAATTGTCAATTTATCACTATATACACTTAAATTAAATGTCAATTTTTTTCTTTTCCTTTTCTGTAGTGCTGAGGATTGAACCCAGGGTCTCAAATGCTAGGCAAGCACTCCGACACTCAGCTATTCTCTCAGCTCACCATCAAACAGCTTTTGTAAGACAAAAACTTGATATCTATAAATTATCAATCTTACCTTTTGGATCATTATGAGTCAACAGCTGTATGTCAAACTGTTTAGCAAATGCAGTCAAATCAGGTGGCATCACACAACAAGAGGCAAGATTAACTTGGTTACTATTTGGTTTTATCTAGAAGTAAAAGTAAAATTGTAACATCTTTTCTAGATTAGGTAATACACAAAGTAGAAAGCAATAAAAAGGGCTTAATTTTAAGACATAAAAAATGACACTCTATAGTGCTTGAAGTTCAAAAAATGTTATATGAATATTTTTATTAATATATGCTTTCTAAACTCATATTAGTAGGAACAGAAAAAGGAAAAACAGCTTAAGAGCTTTAAGAGGAAGAAAAGGCCAGTATAGTACTATAGTAGTAAAAAATGTCTCCTTCTAGAACCATTTAGCAATCTAACATATCTGCCTTGAAAACAAACATGTTTCTAAATACCATGGTTTCAGTAACAGAGGAAATATGTCTTAAAAGTAGATGATCAAATACAAGTACATTTAATATATAAAACATTAATATGGCTATTAATGAAACACATTTCAAAAGGGAAAAATTCAGTAATTCCGGTAATAGCTGCAGAGATTGGTTGATTTTTATTATCTGAAACTCTCTCCTGGAGTTTCTAAGCCATATCTAGCTACTAAGTCAAAAGGAAAAGGGAAAGCTTTTTTTTACTAAGAAACTCTAAAAGCTCCAAAAAGAAGGCTAACGATGATGTAAAAGGAATAAAAAATATGGAGAGTGAAGGTAAAATACTAGAAACTTCCCTTATAATTTTTTATTAGATCAAGAAGTAGGGGCAATTTATCACACCCACTCCACATCAAACTGTGTAAAACTGAGCCTTACAAATGTTTAAATAAGAGGTAGCAAAATATTTGTTATATATAATATTTCCTTACTTGGGAAATTAAGGTCATGGCTTCAAAATACCTAAAGAAAAATGTAGCAACATATGTAAAACTGATGGAAACAGCCTTTATCTGTCTACTACAAAATCTTCAATTCACATTTTCTAGTGTTCTTTTCAATCATTTTAAATTAGACTAATGTTCAATTTAGAGATATACTTTAAAAAAACCTTTAAGCTTGAATAAAGCCTGTGTCAAAACTTTCATATTTGGAAGTTACCCCCACAATGAGTGTGCACTATTTACATGATGCTCAGTAGTCCACAGCAAAGGCTAAAAAAGCCAAGTTCTTCTCCACAGTGCTCAGGATCTGGCCTTTCTTTACCTGTACGAGTGTGCACTATTTACATGATGCTCAGTAGTCCTTTTTTAGCAAAGGCTAAAAAAGCCAAGTTCTTCTCCACAGTGCTCAGGATCTGGCCTTTCTTTACCTGTGCCCACTGATACAGCTGCTCCAACTGTGTTTTATCTAGGTCAGAGGTACCTATAGCAACAATTTTCTTGCTTTGGACTAAGTTTTCTAATTCCTCCCAGTAAGGCTGTAAATGCTCCAAGGAAAGATTAACTCCATCTTCAATAGGAGGTGAAGCAATGATCACAGAATCCAGCTGTGCAACTCCAAGGACTGAACAAGCTGATGGGAAGAAAAGCACAGAAAGGATAAGTACTGTCTAATACAAATAAGAATTTCTAAAGCCTTCAAAATCTGGTTCCTATCACTCACTAATTTCCTATACAACAGATTTTGTAACTTACTTTTCATTTAGAACATTACTGTCTTTTAAAAAAACTGTAGGTATCCATTCACTTACTCTGTATGGTAGACAAAGGGTACTCTGATGACATCTAGCTACCAAGTGAAGCTCACAGCCATTACAGGTTTCCCTTTCTGAGGAAAAGGTTTCCTTCTTATTTCCTAGGCCCTAGGACTTTTTAGTAGCTTCCTTATATCTTCATACAATTTTTTCTTCAATTTTACTTGCTCACAAGTACATCATATAGATAATCCCAAGAATTCTGACCTAATACTCTGTAACTGGAGGTCAAAGCAAGTACTTCTGAGATTCTGAAAACTAAACTTAATGGTCTTAACCTGTATTTATTGCAGGAGATAACCAAATTATTTAATTTAAATTATTGTTCATTCTACAATGATATTAAAGGCATTTATATAACATAAAAATATTGGAAGAATTGTTTTAAAAGAAAAAGAATTTAGTAAGTGTAATACCACAATAACCTAACCAAGTGTGAAAACGTACACGATCCTTTTGTTCTTGTTATCTTTGATTTTATTTCATCTACAGTAATAAAACAGCTAAGAATATGATTAAGGTAAATTTCTATTCCCATATAGTTAACATTTAATTGTTTCATCTTTTTACATTTCTCTTGTACATAAAATAAAACCCTGTATGAGTCAATATGATTCTACAGAAACCTTAAGAAATGAGGCTATCACAGAACAGAGAAAACAATTATAAAATTTATTTGGAACTAGGAGAGACCTAGAATAGCAAAAGCAATTCTGGGCAACAAAGGCAAAGCAGATAAAAACAGCATGGTACTGGAAAAAACTCAGCCATTTTACCTTTGACAAAGGAGCCAGACACCTTCACTGGAAGAAAGATACTCTTTAATAAATTGTGCTGGGAAAACTGGCTTTCCACATGCTGAAGATTAAGACTAGACCCATATCTCTCACCATGCACTAAACTAAAATTGAATGGATCAAAAATCTAAATATTAAAATAGAAACACTAAATTTGCTGGAAGATAGGATAGGTAAAACTCTTGAGGATACTGGTGTAGGCAAAGACGTTATGAACAAAGCCTTATCTCATAGGAAATATCACAAAGAATCAACAACTGAAATATCTTATTGAAAAGCTTTTGTACACAAAAAGAAACCACCAACAGAGTGAAGAGACAAATATAGTGTTGGAAGAAATTTTTGCCAGACATTCCTCAGACAAGACTAATATCTAGAATATAAAGAATGCAAAAAAAAGTCAGATCCCTTAAATTTAAAGACCCATTTTAAAGTCCAAAAATGGGCATCTGAAATGAACAGAAACTTCTCAGATGAAGTAGAAATAGCAAATAAATATATGAAAAAATTTTCAATATCTCAAATATCATTTGAGAGATGCAAATTAAAACAATGCTGAGATTCCATCTCACTCCAGAAAGAACAGCTATTATCAAGAAATCAACCAATAACAAATGCTGGCAGGACAACCCTTCTTCACTATTGGTGGGAGTGTAGACTGGTGCAGACACTTTGGATATCAGCGTGGAGAATCCTCAAAAAACTAAAACTAGAGTTTCCATTTGACCCAGCTATTCCCCTTCTTGGTTATCTTCCCAAAAGAATTAAAACATCATACCACAGTGATATATGATACCCATGTTTATAAGCAGCATAGTTTGCTAAATCTTGGAAACAGAACAAATGCCCATCAGCTGATGAATGGATAAAGATAGGGGTTTTTATACAATGGAGTACTACTCTACCATAAAAGGATGAGTTTGAGACATTTTTAGGTAAATGGATGTACCTTGAGACCATTCCCTTAAGTGAAATAAAAATCCCATTGTTTCTCTGTGAGAAACTGGAAGGGTAAATAAGGACCAAAATGTATAATAGATGTTGTGAAATAGGAAAAAAATGTTCAAATGGGAAGGAGAACTAAAGAAGGGGAAAAGGAAAGAGGGACAAGAAAAAAAAGAATAGAAAGAAAAATGGTAACAAAGCTTTTGTAAATAAGGAGGGGAAGAGAGGTTGAAGGGAATGGAATGGGGAAGAATCAAGATGTATCATACACAAATACAAATTCCCTATGATGAATATTATTATGTATATCTAATATATACCAATTAATTTTTAAAAATTTGACACTCAAAAAAATTAAGCTAGAACTTTAAAAAGCAAAATTTCAATCAGCTCATTTTCTTTTTCACCTAGACCTGAACATGTTATATCCAAAACAACTACTGTAACTTACGATCCACCATTAAGAAAAAAAAATTTTTTGCTTACCCATGTCAACTGCATTTCTAGTTGATGAAGAAGAATTTGATCCTACAATGAACAGTTTTGCTAAGTAACAAAGAAAATGAAAGTGATTACATTTAGGTACAAGTCTTATGCAGTATTACCATTATAAATAATCCTGAACGAATTATTTTTCCTTCCCTAGTAACATCGTTTTACAGTTTTCACCATAAGACATCAAAGCAAACTGGTGTAGTGCCATGTAACTATAATCCCACCATTAGGGAGGCTAAGGCAGGACGCCAAGTTCAAGGTCAGCCTGGGGGATATAGCAAGACCCTATTTTGTTGAGAAAAACAAAAACAACGAAAAACGAAGACACAAGAGCATATTTCCACTGTAATTTTTAATTATATAATAAACAACTATTTGTCAAAACTAAAAGCAATTATTAATTTCCCATTTACAGAAGGCAGGTCAGATAAATATAGGAGTATTTATATATTTGAGATGTACACTTTTATGAATTAAACATTAATCAGGCATATTACATGCTTTCTCCACTAAAGTAAAAATTGCACACTCTGTAAATTAAACTGTGTTGTGATAAGAAGGAAAATTTTAAAAAACCAGTCCTACCTTCCCAATCTAATCATTTTGTTTTCCAGTTTTTGGTAATATAAAGCAAGTTACAATATTTTTCCTATTTGTTTGGTTTATGTTTATGTAATAAGTATTCTGTATATATTTTAAATAGTATTTTACTTATCTTAAAATTCTTATTATAACAGTAATGTGCTTATTCTAGAAATGAGGAAAATCTGTAACAGAGGGACCAAAGAGACTAGCCAATGGTCTCATTACCCTAAACAATTACTATTTAGATCTTGTATGTAGTCTATGTTTCTAATGTATAATTTTACATACTTTTTAAATACTTGAATATTATTCCATAATATTTGTTTAACATTTAGGTTAGCAAATATTCAGTTATAGTCCCAGTTTCCTGTTATCAGATATAAATACTAAAACATTTGGTAACTTTTTGGTTCAATTTTATATGAATCATTTTCCAAGGATGAATTATCAAAAAGGTGATTATGGGTCAAAGATCCTGAACTTTGTGAGTCTTGCTGTATTTCATTTACCTATTTTACAAAACCATCTACCAGTTTATGACACCAACAGTTAAGAGCTGCTCTCCTAACAATATAGGATGTTCAATCAGTAAAGTCTATGCAAAATTCCAAAATCTAAAAATTTCTGAAATCTGAAACCCTTCTGGTTTCAAACATTTTGGGATAAGGGAAACTCAATATGCACTTAAAAAAAATCTTTTTAAAAAAACTTAATAGGCATAATATGCACCTTCCCAGGCCACTATATAGCATTTCTTTGGTTGCCGGGGAAGTTAAGTAGTTTTCCAATGTAGAAAACGTCTAAATATACACAACACTGAAGTTGGTTTGATTTACACTGAACTTTATATATACATATTTACTTTATATACATTCACTGTTCAAAACCTAATTTTTTGACAAAAATAAATAGACAAAAAGGAAGAGTAGTGGAAGAGCAAGAAAAGATAAAATGGACAGGGAACTAGAAATATAGATAATGAAATATTACATAAGATGAGTGGTATTCAGCATATTCAGCAAAAGTGCTTTTATGATAGTCCTTATATGTGTTCCTTACTTTCCCATGCTAGATAATTTTCCTAAAACACTGCTTTCTTCACATTCCTCCTCTACTGAAAAGCCATCGCAAGTACCCTTCCAGATGAGTCAGTCTTTACTACTATGGTCCAACCTAAGTTCCCCTAATTCTACCCTGTGAAAGCCCTCTCCATCTCTATTCCTCAGCCCATGAATTTGTGCCATCTGAGGTAACCGGTCTCTGAAAGATGAGGCATTTTAGACAGGTAGAAAGAAGAAAGTTCTTCAAACAAGTAAAATTTAGATACTTATCAAAAATCTTCAGCCCTACAGAAACTGAGGACAATTTGTAAGAGGATCAAAGATGAATCTACCCCATGGAGCATTACAATCAACCATAGAAGAATGCTGCTTTTACTTCCTTTTCTACACAAACAGTAATGTAAAATTAACTGAAAGAAATGGGTTAAGGAGTCAGGCATACCTGAATGAGACTCCTGGTTTAATCACTTACTTGCTGTATGATAAGTTTCTTTTCTTTTGTCCCTTTTACTAGATAGGGTTTTGTTTAAGTTGCTTGTGCTGGCTCTGAACTTCTGGGCTTAAGCAATTCTACATCAGCCTCCTGAGTAGCTGGTCCGACATGCACAACTGTGCCCAGCTGTATGATGACTTTTAGTTACTCAATGTCGCTAGTGCATAGGGAATAAAGATCTACCTTGCAGGCTTGTTTTGATAATGAGGAAATATAACCGTAAAGTGACAAGTACAGTGCCTCACATTAAGCAAGACTCAAGTGGTAGTTATTCTTTTGGAATCAAAAGATAATGCCCTATCTCATCTTACATGTCCACCTCAGTAATAATAATGACAATAAACAACAATCACAACAATAACATGGTAATAAATAATAGTACTTACTTTGTGGCAAACACTGTGCTACATGTCTTTATTTCAGCCAACTCAAAAGAAGCCCATGAATTTCATCCCTGCTTTAGATTTGATGAAATGGAGGTGCAGACAGGGTTGTTAGCCCAAGATCACACCAGCCTATAATCTGCTCATCCAGGAATTTCAAATGAGGTAAGCTCAAACCATGCATGTGTGTGTTTATTACTGGGGATTGAACCCTGAGCTACATCCTCAGTGCCCCCCACCCTTTCCAGACAGGAGCTAAATTGCCTAGGTGAGATTCAAATTTGCAATCCTTATGCTCTAACCTCCCAAGTGCTGGGATTACAGGCAGGCACCACCTCAGGCAGATCAAGCTCAGGTTTTATTGGCAATGCTATGTTGACTACAAACTCAGGATAGGAGCAACACAGGATTCATTGTTATTTTTGGAATACAGTAGTTACTACATGTTTTGAATGGGTATAATACATAATTTTTTTTCACCATGCAACTTGTTGTCCAGACTTCTTTCTATACTTCCAGGGAACCTCAATCATTGGTTATCATATCCCACAAGAAAGGAAAGTTTGTTTGCTTTGGGCAGATACTACTCCTAAGCCTTCTCTTTATCCTTTTCATTTCTTCTTCAATTTTTTTTTATTGCTCTAAATACACAAAATTACATAGAATATAATAGCAAGCTGAAGTTCTATTGACTCCGCTGAAGTAGTATTAACTTCTATGACTCCATCTTAAGAGTTATTAAAATTTGGGTTGGTGATTTAGCTCACTAGTTCTGCCTCACAAGCGCAAAGCTCCAAGCTCAATTCCCAAGTACCAAAAAAGTTATTAAAATTTAAAAAGAATCTTGTTTTCCACACTTTATATTAGGATTTAGAACGAGAATTTCCCCTAAAAGTCTTTATGTATCTGGAGGTAGGGCTTTCAGAATGTGACTGGAGCATGGGGACACTGACCACCAGTGGATGAATGTGCTGTCAAGGGTGGGAATGGCTGGGTGGGTTGGTCACTGGAGGTATGACCTGGAAGAGTTTAGAGAATATATTCTCCTCTGTGGATCCTCCCTTCTTCACTTCTTGGCTGCCGTGAGGTAAGCAGCTTTCTTCTGCCATGTTCTTCTGTCACTGCCGTTTCTGCTTGCAGCCAGTGGACCATGCCCAGACTAAGCCCGCTCAAATCATGAGCCAAAATAAGCCTCTCCTTTGAATTGCAGGTATTGGGCATTTTGTCCCAGCAACGGGAAATAGACTAATACAGAGACTGTCACTCATTACTAGAAGTGAAGAAAGGCTTATTCGCATGCCTAACAAAACCTCACTGTGTGAGTTAGTTATTTTTCTTTCATTGCTGAGACAAAAACAGACTAATACAGACTGTCACTCATTACTAGAAGTGAAGAAAGGCTTGTTCGCATGCCTAACAAAACCTCACTGTGTGAGTTAGTTATTTTTCTTTCATTGCTGAGACAAAATATCTGGCACCAAAAGTAAAAGGGGAAGGGGTTTATTTGGCCTACAGTGTGTAGAGGTTTCAGTCCATAATCGGCTGGCTCCAAGGCTGGGATGGCAAACAAGCATCGCAGAACAAAAACAACATGGTGCACAGAAGGCAGCAAAGGTAACAAGAGACCTTCACCTAGTCTTTCTGCCCCTTTTATCCCATCCAGACTACCAGAATTAGGGTGGTGCCAAACTAATCACTCACATGTAGTGGTTTAGTAATCACACGCCCTTAACCCCAGCATCACACATTCCAGATTCAACTACCTCTGAAAAAGAAAGCCCCACATATTCTGCATGAGGCTTTGCGGGGACATCTAAACACAAACCATAATACTCACTACACATCTACTGTGTAACAAAATAAACTGCAAAAGTTGAACTTTACCAGAAACTTTCATTTCTTCTCTTTCATCAGGGTTTATCTTCTCTACTGCATGAGATACAGTACACTCCAAGACATCTGGAAACTCCTATAATAAACATGACACTTACAATAAATATTAATATTTCTGTTTAATTATAAAACGTTCTGTTGTCCATTATACACTTTAGAGAGCCCACAGACAATGGAATTCTCTATTTGGTACCAGAGAATGAACTTAGGACCTTGTGCTTGTGAGGCAGGCTACAGCACCACTGAGCTAAATCCCCAGCCCCGGAATTCTTTACTTGAGATCTATTGGGACTTCATATAGAGATGGAAGGGTGTGGTGTTTGTGTGTCCATTTTCTGGGGAAAAAGAGTTATTAGGTATTCAAAAGGATATAGGACCAGGCCAGGGATGTAACTCAGTGGCACTGTGCCTGCCTGGCAAGTGCAAGGTCCTGAGTTCAATACCTGGAACAAAAAAAAAAAAAAAAAAAAAAACAGGCCCAAAAGAAAGAAAGAAAGAAAGAAAAAAAAAACTTAGAAAACAAGCAGAGGAAGGACATGTGAGAAGTAAGAACCACTAGAATAGTAGATAATTTTACTAAACTTTTACATTAATCACACATTTTTAAAGAAAATTTTTCATGCCTTTGAATATGTCTTTGAACTTTAATCAGCAAAAGGATTTTGGGTGTCTTTAAAAAAAAAAAGGATTTTTTTAAGAGCAATTTCAGGTTCACAATAATATTGAGAAGGTAGAGATTTCTGGTTTGCTTTGTTTTTTGTTTTTAGTACCAAGTACTGAACTCAGGACCTTGCACTTGCCACGCAGGCACAGTGCCACTGAGCTACATCCCCAGTCCTCCAGAGATTTCTCATTTACCTCCTACCTGTACAGATGTATAGCCTCTCCATTATCAATATCCTCAGGAGACATGTACATTTGCTGCAACTCATGAGCCTACACTGACACATTACAATCGCCAGTTTACTTGAGGGTTCACTCTTGGTATTTACATATGTTCTATGGACCTTGACAAATGTACAATGACACATATCCACCACTGCAGTACCATACACTGTACTATCACTGTCGTAACAATCCTGTATGCTCCACCACTCGTCCCTTCCTCCCACAACCCCTACAAATCACTGCTCTTCTCACTGTCTCCATAGTGTTTCTATAATGTTAAACAGTTAGAATAAAACAGTACACAGCCTTTTCAGATTGACATTTCACCTAGTAATATACATTTAAGGTTCTTCCATGTCTTTTCATGGCTTGATAGAGCAATTATTTTTAGCACTGAATAATAGTCCGTTGTTTGGATGTATCAGTTTGTTTATTCATTAATCTACTCAGACATCTTGGTTGCTTCCAAATTTGGCAATTAGAATAAAGGTTTTATAAACATTTGTGTGCAGCTTTTTCATGAACATAAATTTTCAACTTGAGTAGATACCAAGGAGAAAGATTGCTGGATCATATGAAAACAGCATGTTTAGTTTTAGGGTCACAAACATTTTAAGGTAAAATATTTATTTTTTAATTTATTTTTTGGGGGGCAGGGTACCAGGGATTGAACTTGGGTCCTTGCGCTTGCAAGGCAGGCCACCAAACTGCTGAGCTAAATCCCCGGCCCTAAAACATTTATTTTCAAATGTGCAATTTAAAAAAAAATCAAGGGCCATTCAAATGCATTATAATGAATTATGAGAATACAATAAAATGTTAATATATATCAGTCAGAAATATACAAACTTATGTAACAAGACTTAACAAACAGTGCAGCTTTTTCAGGATTGGTGAGCATATTACAATATTAGGAGCTCCTAAGTGTTTAAGTCATGGAGAAATAGTCATTTCAGATAAATAGACATGATCATCAAAGTTTATACAGCAGTACAGAGTTATAAACTTGCAGTATGTCTTCCTGTATACTTTTAAAGTAGTCTAAGAAATTTGATAGAAGCCTTTGATGGAGCTGGATTTCAGGATACTTACAGAGATATTTTATATATTAACATTTACAATAATAGCCAGATACTGACATTTTATCAATACAGTTTTTTGATTTATCAGAAACTAAATTTTTAGAAATTATTTTTAGTAACTATACTACTGTGGGGATAGTGTACCAAAATAATCTACCAAACAAAGTTTACAATCACTCCTCTACTAGGCCAAGTATCAACTAAATAAAACACTGATGATAAGGAAACTGTAGCAGAATTATACAGGAGAATCCTAACATCTAGTCTAGTTGAGCATTGACTCAGATTCCACATTCTGCTTTATTCTTAATCCTACTGGAAAAGACTTTCATTATAGCAAATGAGCCACAAGAGGTTTTATGGCTAACTGCCTATTTGACTTCTCTCTTCAAACTGAGGAAATTAACTTCCTGCTTTTACTCACTTCCCTTTTGACTGGCATAATTTCCGCATTCACATTTCACTTACCTTGACCAAATCTGGGCTGATTTGGGAACTCCATTCATTCAAGGTCTTTTGGATACAATCTCGAAGCTACAAAAGGTATTTGGAAAATGTTAATCAAATTCTATGTACCCCCTGTACTTCTACAATAAAAATGCCTTGATCTGATAAACTAAGTAGACAAGAAAATATATCATTAGGGAATACCATACAAACTCCAAATTTAATTCTACAGGGTTTTGGTTTCCTTCAACTTAAATTCCTGTTTTTACTCTATTCTTAATTCTCAAACATTTTTTACCTAAAGCAAGTAGTCTAATTATTTTCATAGTCTTTGTACCAATGAAACTTTAAACCTCTGAGACATAAAAGCATTCATAAAGAAACAAAGAAATTATTTGAAGAATAATAAACGGGAAATTTAAGGCAAGAGCCTAAATTCTTATTAGCCTCTATATGCTACATTCCTCAAAAACAAACAAGTGACTAAGTGTAACCAGTTATTCCTACATTAGATTCACCTGTGTTGGTTATTAAAGATTCAGACTCCTGAGCTCAATCCTAGTCTTGCCCAACACTCTTCAAGAACACAGAATTTTCATTTTAACAAGCATCCCAAGTAATTGCTGTGTACTCAAAAATCTGAAAACCAGCAGATAGACATATTTGGTAGAGATCAACCTGCATAATGACAGTCCATAAGCCATTTCCTAATACTTAGGTATACCTTTAACCTGTCTTCATTTTCTGGGTAAACAATTATTTTATGCTAACATTGTAGCACACAAATTCATTAATGTGTTTATCTATCTCTTATGTCTATGTTTCAAACTTGCTTGACAGTGGCCCAAACTAAATGAATATTCTCTTAGTGAATGAAGACTCATATTCACACAAGAGGACAAAACTCACAAAACAGCTACTTGAGCTTACTCCATGCCAACCACTCCAGTGGCGTCTATTCTATTAGAAGAAAAAAAATGCTGTTGCATGACACACTGAAATGATTTATGACCACTAACTGGCTAACACTAGCAGTTTGAAATCACTGCCTTAAAGATAACCAAGGTCACAGTGCAGGCAATCAATGAAAAAAGAAATGAGTAACTAGATGAAAGCCCCTAAATTGCAAAAGCATCTTCTTAAGAGCAACAACAAAGACTAAACTTCTGAACTTATCGAAATTATGACTACTTATGATAAAAAAAATATATTTTTTACCACTTCCACCTTAGTACAGATAGTGAAAAAGGACAACTCGTTTATCAGTTTAAGGTCACAGAACCACTTTAGTATTTATAATCTAAAATTATAATTCATGTGCTATCCACAATAACCCACTTCAAGTTGCCAGGTCTATACCTTTGCGCAGAGTGTATTTCTAACCAAATTGATGTCAGTAGATAAAAATTAGTTCATAATCTTTCCAGATAGAATTACAAGTCATTTTTTAAAAAATCAATAAAATGTTGAGGCAGCAGTACTAATTAGACGTTAACCATCCTATCAGGAATGGTTTGGTTTAAATTATGACAAAATTCTAAGAAATTTTCATCTAGAAAACTGAGTCATTAGACGTTAACCATCCTATCAGGAATGGTTTGGTTTAAATTATGACAAAATTCTAAGAAATTTTCATCTAGAAAACTGAGTCATTTATGTGCTTAAGAATTTCTTGATGGATTCATCAACTCAAGAAAATAAGTGTATTTTCTGAGTATCCACTCATTTCTTGAAACCACCTTCTTAATTAATCTTGGATTCTGCAAAATTCAAGACAGCCAGGCATGATGGTGTACTCCTGTAATCACAGCACTAGGAAGGCCGAGGAAGGAGGATTATTAAGTCCAAGGCCAGCCTTCACTACATAGTGAAACTGTCTCAAAAAACTAAAAAAATTCAAGACAAATCACAGAAAAATCCAAAGTTAAAATTACATGAGGATTTACTGAGTGTATCACAAACCTAACGATTTTTAATCTTGTAAGATACATGTTATTTATATTAGGTGATCATTAACTTTTTGTTTTGTTTCCTGCTCTTCATTCTTATCGTACACATACAGTATTACTAAAGAAAAATATCACCACAATCTAGCCAACATTAGATCTGGAGTTGAGAAAGAATTTCAAAATTACCTTGATAGAACTTGTCAAATACTTTTAAAGAAGTGGACAGAAGTCTTGTAATGGCCCATTGAAAAACAGTATTTGACCCTAAATGAAAACAAACTTTGATTTCAGAGCCAGGCATGATGACTTAAACCTATATTCCCAGCACTGCTTAGGCTGAGGCAGGAGAATCAAAAGTTTGAGGCTAGTCTGGGGTACATAGCAAGTTCAAGGCTCACACGGACTATATAGTGAGACCTTGTCTCAAAAAAAAAAAGTTGATTTCATAAAATTCTGGTGAAGCAGTAAAATTTGGGGAGAGTCATAGACTCAAAAAAAGATTAGAACTAGAGGAGCTCTTTTAAGAATTTTTTTTTCTTTTGGCAGTACCTGGGATGCAACTCAGAACCTTGCGCTTGCAAGGCAGGAGTGGCACCACTGAGCTAAATTCCCAGCCCTTAAGAAATTTAATTGAACTCTACCTAATGTGTAAGTGTTTTTTATCCAGTTTCTTTGACCTCTTCACGAGGCTGAGCTGTTTCAAGTACAGTAGTACACCCCAATTTGGAGATCTGGTTGTTACAAAGTTTATTACATACCAACAACATGTCTATCTTTTTCTAACTAAACCTTCAGTTTCCCTGCTATCATTCTTTCAAGTTTTCCCTTAATGTTCTAGTTTCTTCAGTTTTATCCTACTGCGATACACCCTAAATGAAACACTACAAACCAGAATTAGTCCTTGGAACAATGTATTTCAAACTGCCTGCATTAGTGTACTAAGAACCACGTTTTTAAGGAGATGGGGTATAGCTAGCTCAGTGATACAACACTCGCCTACCATGTGTGAAGCCTTTGGTTTATCCTTGGCACACAAAAAAAATTCATTTTGGAAACTGAAATGATAAAAAAAGTCACAACATACACTATGTAAGTAAGAGTTAACATCTTTTTGTAAGAGTCAGACATATTGATAAACATATATAAATTATGAATTGAGTGGATAAAATGCATTTGTTTGCAGTCAACAACTTTGAAAACCACTACTTTAGAGTGTGTTGTTGAGAGATAAGAAAGAAAATGTACCCAAAGAATTTACATCCAAAATGCTATATTGAAGTCATCACCACCAGTACTCAAAGAAATAAAGGTTCTATTACCAAACATAGAAATACTTACTATTGGGAGAAACAGAATCGGGTGATTTAAACAAAACATATAAACTGAGCTGAAACCTGAACACGGAATAGGGCAGGGATACTGGTTCCCATTAAACTTAAAACTAAGAGTTCTCATCTGAAAGGTGCTGCATCCCAGCACCTCACTTAGGAGAGATGCTGGGTTCTGCTACACTCAGTCTTCTAGCATCTCACACAAGAATGAATCCCTCTCAGAACAAGCTGGTAACATCATACTATGGCATCATCTAGGACATTTTTTCCTTTTAAATAAGGCTTTTAAAAAATCTTTCTCCTGGAACGAGATGATTGGGAGACAACTCTACTTTGAGCGGTTTCACTATTCTCTTTCCTTCTTAGGACAATCTGATAAGGAAGTTATCACTAATCAACTTTAAAGCTATGTAAACACAGGGAGGGTTAACTCTCCTAGGGTCGCACAGCTCCTACATTTAAACGTTTACTATTTTAATTTTTAGTTACCACTCAATAACTTCTGGTTGGTACATATTCATTGGGTTTTTTTTTTCCCCAGTACTAAATCGCTCCACGGACCACCAATATTTTTCAGCCATTAGTTGTGCAATGAATGGATGATGACGGGCTCAGGAATGCCTAGTGTAATTCCAGATTAATCTCTGCCACTTCCAACCACTGACTGGTCTTAGGGCAAATAAAACGAAGCATATTCATTTTTAGGTAAGAAAAACATGTCTATTCCAAAGTCAAATTTAAGTCTTTGGTGGTTTGCCTCCCAACAATATAGAAACCACTGTCAACACTCCAGGATTAAGTATAAATATTTGCCAAAGGCTAATCGCTCAACTACGCCGTGGCCCAGACGAGGTGGCGGGTGAGCGGGAGTAGGAAGAGGACTGAGCGATGCGGGA